CACATATATATTTTGATTATATCTCCTGGAACCTTTGCTTTTCCCCCTCCCTCTACTACTCTCTCATTTTGTTGGCTAATACATGTTACTAAATTCAATACATATTCAACTCTCATCTTTCTCTGCCTTTTGGCCCAATTTAACACAGCTGATCCCACTTCCAAATGTGTTCATCTGGTTTTCTTCTCATCTCTTAGGCCACTCCTTCTACCTGTAGGTCTTTTATCTAGTCATTACGAGATGTTGGCATTACTTATGTTTTTACTCAATCAAGTTTTTCATCTGTAAAATAGGGATAATTCTATGATTTTCTTCATAGCATTGTTGTGAGAATTAAGATTATGATCATATAGTATTTAGCACAGTATCTAGGACATAAATTCTCCATAAATGTTAGCTCCTATTATTACTATCATCTTATGACTGGATTACTGAAATTGTGCCCTGCCTTCCATGCTGACTCTGCCTCTTCTTTAATCTTCTGGTCACAATATAACAAGAGGGAGTTTTAATAAATGCAAATCTGATCATGTGTCCCTGTCTCACTGGAAACCTACTAATGGTTTTATAGGGCTTTTGGAATACAGACAGACCCATCTCTTAACTATTCTTGCTCCTTAATCTCTATGATTTAACCCACCAATCCCCAACCTTTTTGGCACTAGGGACCAGTTTCATGGAAGACAATTTTTCCACGGACCAGGGGTAGGGATTTGGGGATGATTCAAGTGCATTACATTATTACATTTATTGTGCAGTCAAACCTCTCTGCTAATCATAATCTGTATTTGCAGCTGCTCCCCAGCACTAGCATCACCTCCTTAGCTCTACTTCAGATCACCAGGCATTAGATTCTCACAAGGAGTGCACATGCAACCTAGATGCCTCCTATATGCAGTGTACAGTAGGGTTCCAGCTCCTATGAGAATCTAATGCCTCTGCAGAACTGACAGGGACGGGCCTTATGCAGTGATGCCAGAAATGGGGAGCAGCTGTAAAGGTGAAGCTTCCCTCACTCACTGGCTGCTCACCTCCTGTGTGGCCTGGTCCCCACCAGTCTGAGGCCAGGCTTGGGGACCCACAGCTGTAACCAAACTGACTGCAAGCTCCTTAGACAGGCCCTGTTCATTCCATGAGGGTACCGGTCCACAGTATTTCCCTTGTTTGAAACCCCCTGCAAGTTGCAGTTTGGTCCTAATTGTTCTTCAGACCTCTGCTGAAAAGTCACTTCCTTCTTGACCAAGTCTGGTCTATTTTGCATTCTCATTGTACCATGTTCCTCTAGAACGTCTCAGTTTGCAGTTGCACACTTATATGAGTGACTATCGCTTATTATTACTATACATTTGTATGTTTCCTCCTACAGACACCTGAGACTACCTTCTGATATTCATCCCACCCAAACCTGTTCCTTTCACCATCTCCTTCATCTCAGAAATAGCAGTACCACTCTTCTAGCTGCTGAGGCCAAAAACCTTGGATTCTCTTTCTCTCACGCCATATATCCATCAGCAAATACTACTGCCTCCCCAGAACTAAACCACTTTCCCCCATTTCTACTGCTATCCACTGCTATCCACTGTGGTCAAAGCCACATCGTCATTTCCTGGATTGTTGAAATACCTGTTAACATTTTTCTTTGCTTCTTTTTTTGCCCCATCACTTCCCCCCTTTGTCTATTTACAACGTGACAGTTAGATTGAGCCTTTAAATATGCCAGATCATGTCATTCCTCCACGGAAAACCTCCAAAGACTTGCCATCTGCTATGGACTGAATTTTGGCCCCCTAAATTCATATGTTGAAGCCCTGAACCACCCTCCCCATGTGACTGTGTTGGAGATAACAGTACTTTTAAAGTGGTGATTAAGGTTGAGTAAGTCATAAGGGTAGGCCCTGATCCCATAGAACTGGTGCACTTATAAGAAAGGAACAGACCCCCAGAACAGACCCCCAGAACTCTTTCTCTACCACGTGAGGACACACAGAGAAGGCAGCCGTTTGCATGCTTAAAGGAGAACACGCACCTGAACCCAACTATGCTGGCACCCTGATTTCAGACTTTCCAGCCTGTACAACTGTGAGAGAATAAATTTCTTGTTTAAGTCACCCAGTCTATGGTATTTTGTTATGGTAGCCTCAGCTAATATGCCATTCCACTCAGACTAAAAGCCAAAGTATATCTAAGCCGCAGTTCCTACACACTCTGGTCTACCATGTTCCATATTTCCAAACTCTCTGGCCTAATCGCCTTTGATTCTCCCATCTCTTTTTTTTTTTTTTTTTTTTGAGACAGAATCTCGCTTTGTTGCCCGGGCTAGAGTGCCGTGGTGTCAGCCTAGCTCACAGCAACCTCAAACTCCTGGGCTGAAGCAATCCTTCTGCCTCAGCCTCCCGAGTAGCTGGGACTACAGGCATGCGCCACCATGCCCGGCTAATTTTTTCTATATATATTTTTAGTTGTCCGGATCATTTCTTTCTATTTTTTTAGTAGAGACGGGGTCTCGCTCTTGCTCAGGCTGGTCTCGAACTCCTGACCTTGAGCGGTCCACCCGCCTCCGCCTCCCAGAGTGCTAGGATTACAGGCGTGAGCCACCTCGCCCGGCCTCTCTCCCATCTCTTAAGGCGCTGCAGACTGGCCTACCTGCAGTTCCATGAGCACGCCAGGCACGCTGACACCTTTGGGCCTTTGCTTTTCCTCTGCATGGAACACTCTTTTCCCAAACATTCGCAACATTCACCTCCTCACTCAAATGTCACCTTCTCTGTGAGGCCATCTCATGGAAAATGTTATCATCTTCATCTCTCACACACATATCCTATTCCCATTTCCTTAGCACTCACTACTTGGATGCTACATATTTTATCTATTTATCTTGTCTATTGTATCTCTCACTAGAATGAGCTCCATGAGATAAGGGTTAGTCTGTTTTGTTCCCTGTTATTTCCCCAGAACACAGAGCAGCTCATAGAAGGTGTTCCACACTTACTCAATTAAATGAACATTGAATTCCAACAGCCACCAAATTAGCTTTGGAGCTGGAAGGTACCACAGAGATCAAATACTAAGGCAGCAATTCCCTACTAGAAAACTGCACTGCTTAACAGACCACCTGATTTTTCTGGTTTCTTCTGGTTTTCTGCTAATGTTACTAAAGCTCAAGAGGAGCTTTAAAAACTCTGGCAACATGATTCAAGAGCTGTTCCTTCCTCTCTCCATCTTTGAAGTAGATAATAAAATGAGCTGAAAAGTTGTCAAAGTTAAACGAGATCACAGTCCTGACAATTTTTTGAGAATTGCCTCGTTGCAGCTTTTACCTACAGCATTTTCAAACAGTTCTGCAAACTCTAAGGCTCTTTAATCACGCTTCAAGGGTTCAGCAAAGGATGGTATTTATCCCCATAAATAAAATTTAAAAATACAGAAATATAACAAATATATAAATAAAAAACAAGTGTTTGGAGGAAGCCACTCAGTGCCATTATTGCCATTCACTGATTTTACTTAGGGCTTTGGATAGAATTTAGGTTACAAAAGGATTCTACTGCGAAGGAAGTTGGAAAATAGTTATACTCCCTTACATTTTATAGAAGAGAAATTAGGCCTGCAGAGGAGTACCTTTCCGTTTCTATTAAACCAGAGGAATCCTTCACAACCCAAACCATGCAGAAGCTTCCTGGTACACTCACGACTAGTTATTGCAGTCATTGTATTCTGAGAGCTGAGCTTCATATCATTTTTGGAAACGCTCCAAATTAAAAATTATCTTGAAACAATGAGATACCACAACTAAGCTCCCTTCTCACCTTAAACATCGGCTTTTACAATAAAGGTGTCATCGGAAGTGTGGACACACCCACTGCATCACCACTGGAATTAATCTCCAGTTATGCAAATCGCGCTCTGCCGGGCAGGGTGAGTCTACCGCACAAAAGCGGCACAGAGGAAATCCTGCCTCCCAGCAGGCTCGGGCCCGCAGTACGTGCGGGGAGTTGCGGGGGCCCGGCGCCTCAAGAAAGCCTGGCTGGGGGCGCGCCTCGCCCGCCGCTCCGGAAGCGCCCGCGGCCCCAACGGGAAAGCCTCCGGCATCACCGGCAGGGACAGGGGCAACTGGAGCCAGGCCCTGGGTACCACGCGCCTAGGGGGAAACCGCCCTGACGCCCTGCAGCATCTCGCGAGATCTCGCCGGCTCGGCCCAATTACAGCGAGTTCAGAACTCAAAAAAAAAAAAAAAAAAAAAGAAGAAGCGAGCGGGCGAGAGCCCCTGGAGCAGGAGCAGCCGCTGGGGTGGCAGCTGTCACGGGCGCATGAGCTACCGGCGTCCGCCGAGGCAGGGCCGCGTGCCGTCGCAGCTGCGTGGCCTAGGCTGTCGGTCCATTGACGCGCGGCCCCGGGCGGAGAAAAGGGGAGGCGGCCGGGGAGCCCGCTCCTCTTCGCCGCAGAGCGCGGCGCGGGAGGGAGGTGGAGCGGCGGGAGGAGGGCGACGGAAGAGGAGGTAGCGGCGCGGAGATCTTCCCTGCGACATCAGTGAGGCGGCGCGCAGCCGCGCCTGCTCTCTGGTCGCGTTGCTCCTGGTGCCCGAGGTCCGGCGCGGACTGGCCCGACTCGATCCTCGCGGGGGCCGCTCTCGCGTGGGGTCGCGCGGGAGCCCGGGAGGCCCGGAACGCCGAGGGAGCGCCCGCCACGCGCCGCTGCGGGACCGCGGGTGGGCGGGCTGAGGGGCGGGGGAGCCGCCGGCCCCGCCTCCCGCGTGCTGCAGCGGGAGCCGCCGCCGCCGCGGCCCCGCCGAGGCTTTAAACAGCGGGGCCCGCGCCGCACCCGGCGCACTCGCGCGCTGACTCGGCTGCCGGCGGCTTTCGTGCCGGTCCGGGCGAGCGGCTGCGAGCGGGCGGCGGGGCCAGTGACTCCCTCACCTGGCCCTGCGGCCGCGGCCATCACCGGCTAGGGGCGCGGAGGGCGCGCAGCCTGAGACCTCTGCCAGGCACTCCAGGTTCGCGGCGATGGAGCCCGGGCCCACGGCGCCCTCCTCCGGTGCCCCAAGGCTGGCTGGGGTCGGGGAGATGCCGCCAGCCGCCGCGCTGGCCGCCGCCGGTGTAGAGCTGCCCGGCACGGCGGTGCCCTCGGTGCCGGAGGATGCCGCGGCCGCGAGCCGAGACGGCGGTGGGGTCCACAGTGAGGGTGCCGCGGCGGCCGGGGACGGGCCGGGTAGACCCCTGGGGCCCACCCCGAGCCAGAGCCGCTTCCAGGTGGACCTGGTTTCCGAGAACGCCGGGCGGGCCGCGGCGGCGGCGGCGGCGGCGGCGGCGGCTGGGGCTGGGGGCAAAGAGATCCCCGCGGATGGGAAGGTCAGCAGCGAGAGCGGGCCGGCCAAGGCTAGCGAGGAAGCCAAGGGCCGCTTCCGCGTGAACTTTGTGGACCCAGCTGCCTCCTCGTCGGCGGAAGACAGCCTGTCGGATGCCGCGGGGGTCGGAGGCGACGGGCCCAGCGTGAGCTTCCAGAACGGCGGGGACACGGTGCTGAGCGAGGGCAGCAGCCTGCATTCGGGCGGCGGCGGCAGTGGGCACCACCAGCACTACTACTATGATACGCACACCAACACCTATTACCTGCGCACCTTCGGCCACAACACCATGGACGCTGTGCCCAGGATCGACCACTACCGGCACACGGCCGCGCAGCTGGGCGAGAAGCTGCTGCGGCCCAGCCTGGCGGAGCTCCACGACGAGCTGGAAAAGGTGAGCTCGCCCAGCCCTCCCCTCCTTCCCCAGCCCCTGGTGCACCCAGTCTCCCGGGTGAGGTGGCGGGAATGGATGTGCACGACTGGCTGGCATCTCTGGGTTCAGCTGTCAAGGGTGGAATTGCAGACGAATGTAACTTAATCTCTTAAAAGTTTGCAGCGGGTTTGGCTAGTTACGTGATACCGCAGAGACTGCATTTAACAACCTGCCCCATTCTCTTAGATATTTCGCGTACGCTTTCTTTCTCACTCAGGCTTAACAATTACCACCCTTCTGAATGACAGTTGTGTTTGTGGGCCAGGGAATGGGCAGGAGGCTTAGGTGAGGAGGTCTCCTGGGAGAGGGTGGAGAGCACCTACCATCTGTGTCCTTTTTAAAGATTGTGTTGTGTGGCTTATGTATACCTATTAGGGATCCCAAGAGTGGGAATGTTGGTGTTTGAAGGAAAATCTTAGAAAGTTGTGTTTGATCTGTGAATTATTAAAGTTCAATTCGTGCAGTCTTGACTGTGCAGAGAATCATAGAAATCTTAAGTCTTGGGACATGCTCCTGATAATGGCTTAAATCCATCTTTTTGTAATGTAAACCTTTTGGGAGAGGGCTATAGCAAAAAAAAAAAAAAAATTAGGGAGAGGGGGTGAGTCTTTACAGAAAAAAGAAACCAGAGAGTTGGTTTTTCTATGGAAGTTGTCCAGAATTTCTGGGTTCTCTGCATAAGCAGTTATACTTTCTAAACAGAAAACCACCTCATAAACTCGTATTGATTTTTTTTAATTCTGTTTTTTATGGTCACATAAGACTTGTATTTCTTCAGTGTTCAAAGCGGTTATTTTGAGATAACATTGATGCTTTTGAGATTCGATTAATGTTTAACTTTTTTATGAGTTGGGATTACTTGAAGTCTGCTTTTACAAGTGTGTAGTGACTGCACTGATGGAACTTTGTGAATGCAAGGAGTTGGTACTACGTAGGTTGAAATGATCAGTGCGGAAAAGTTTAAATCCAGTAAGTTGTGTTATTTCTTTTGGGTATGATTATTTGATCTTGTACAGTCATTTCATACAAGACTGTACTTGTCCCAGTGTTTGATAATGTAACATTCACACAGTTTGAAATAATTACAGAGGTCCCAACCCTTACAGCTTATTGATTGTTTAAAAGCCTGACATCATTTAGCTTTAGATAATACTACTGTTATTCCATTGTGGTATTTTGTCATATCAGAAGCAAAACAATTTCTAAAACACTTCTTTTATTCATGCTCCTGTAGTTTCTTTCAAATCTTACTGTTTTTTTCCTTTTCAAAACTCAAAAATCTTTGTAGACTGAAGTACATATAGAGCTGGTAATTTTCTTAGAGCATTTTTACTATTGAAAATGTAGAGATGTTTTAGATTTATTTCACCAAAGCAGTTTAGCAGTAAAGCAATCTGTGTTTACTCATAGGGATTATAAAGACTTTTAAAACTGAAGGATATATATCTTGAACTTCCTAGGTAAGTTTTTGTTATTTTAAATTAAGTTCAATAACAAAGCACTTCAAGTTCTCCAAAACTTTGGATTTGTATGTGTTTTTTTGTTTTTAGAGTTTTGGTTCAGTGTAAAGTGTCTAAAAAACAGGACACCTGTATTGTTAACTGTATGTTAGTTGAAGAAGTCACCGAACCTCTAAGCCTTAGCTTTCAGAATTATTGTGAAAATTAGGAAAAAACTACGATAAAAATAAATGGCCCTGGCCGGGCGCGGTGGCTCACGCCTGTAATCCTAGCACTCTGGGAGGCTGAGGTGGGTGGATCCCTCAAGGTCAGGAGTTCGAGACCAGCCTGAGCAAGAGCGAGACCCTGTCTCTACTAAAAAATAGAAAGAAATGATTTGGACAACTAAAAATATATAGAAAAAATTAGCCGGGCATGGTGGCGCATGCCTGTAGTCCCAGCTACTCGGGAGGCTGAGGCAGAAGGGTCGCTTGAGCCCAGGAGTTTGAGGTTGCTGGGAGCTAGGCTGATGCCACGGCACTCTAGCCAGGGCAACAGAGCGAGACTCTGTCTCAAAAAAAATAAATACATAAATGGCCCTGTTCAGTGCCCTCTTATATTTGCCCTTCAGAAAGTATAGTTAAACTCTAGGATCTCAACTCAACTTGAGATTCTCTCATTTCCTACATTATTAGATGGAAATAGTATATAAAATGTTCAGAGTTTCATTTATGCAAAAGGTAGTGTAATGAATTCTTTGTAGTTTTTTACCTTCTACCACTCAAATTCTTTGTGGCCACTGTTTTTGTTGGGTTACCTAATAGCCACATATTAAACGTAATTTTGCTTAGAATTTTAGCAGATGGGTTAAAGAAATATGTGTGATGTTAAGTAGTATAGATATGGCTAGCCCCCATTTTTGAAGGAGGGGTGGGCAGAGGAAGGGTGACATGGGTTGGCTGGATCCTCTGAAAGTTGTCCCTCACCCTGTTTAGATTCTCACCTTCTCTATTGCTTCTAACCCTCAGTGAATTATAATATTTAGTATTTCTGTAACATTTAATTCCAGATTGTTTGTCATGTATTCTACTTTGGTCCCCTAAGTGCTTAATTATCTACGTGGGTCTAATTCTGTCCTGGGAACTGTGGAAGAACAAAAGAAGTAAAAGGCAAATGCTCCAGGACATAGTTAGGGAAAAAGGACTAGATTATCTTCCTTCCACTTGAATTCCTTTTATTATCCATCACTGTGACTGTTTAAAAGTATTTTGCCTAAATGTCCAACTGTAGAGAAATAGTTAAATATCCCTGGTGCTTCTTGCTTTATTATGTAGCCATCCTAGGACCAAGATACATGAGTTCTCCATTTATCAAATATTTATTGGGGAAGGAGTTATCCTAGGTGTTGACTTCTTGGTTGTGGCACTGTGGGATGATGCGGTGATTAGTAAAACAGATAACTGCCTCTGCCGATGCTTACGAGGATATAATAGGACCTAATTTTAATTGGATTTTGGGAACGCCTTTTTCAAGAAGTGTGACATTGAAGCTGGGACCTGAAGAATAAGTTGATGATAACGTGGAACAACATTCCAGGCCAAAGGACAGCATTTGCGAAGTTAGTGAGATGAGAAAGAGGGGTACGTCCAAAGAACTAAAAGGAGCTCAGTGTATCTCATTATAAATGTAGTGGGAAGTTATTGAAGGATTTTCTGTGAGGTAGCTACATGATCCTATTTTGTTTTAACATCCCTGGCTGCAGGGCAAGAATAGAAGCAGGGAGACGGAAGCTATTCCTGTGGTCTGGGTGAGAGATAATGAGGGTTGGTGGCAGGATGGAGTGGATGTGGCTGGATTGGACCCGGGAGTGAGACAGAATTTGACTCCTAGGTTTCGGATGGACTTGAGCAACTGAATGGATGTTGTTACTGTTGCTAGAAGTGGTCAAAATTGACGGAGAAATCCATTTGGGGGAGAGGGGAGGAAGAATTCTGTTTGAGTAGCCTGTGAGACATCTGATTCCAAGAGTCATAGAAGGGGACAGAATATATACATATGTGTGTATGTGCGTGTATATACATGCATGTATGTATAAAGATATGGTGGTTTAAAGTCATGGATTAAATTACTTAGCGAGAGTGTAGATAACAGAAAATGGGGTCTCGGCTTGGGCCTAGAGAACGTTTAAAGGTCTGTTAGAGACAATTGAGGACCCACTAGCAAAGGAAGTTAAGAAAGAGCTACCAGACTGGTGAGATATAGCTTGGAGAGTCGTGTTGGGGAAGCTGAGAGAAGAGAGTTAAGGGAGAAACTCTTCAAAGCTGGTGCCAGGAGTTAATTTAAAAAAAAATTATTGTGAGGAATCAAATCGAAGTATTGATTTCTGCCCCTACAGGAAGAAATAAAAAGTGGAGGGTGACAGTATTTGATGGATAGCGTCAACATGTGTAATGGAGAGCATGATTATCCAATGTGGAAAAGTAGAGTGGTGGACAGTCATACTAGCTCCTGTTGGATTTAAAGCATTGTGAAAACAGTTTTGTTTTTCTAAAATAGCATTACTTTTGCAGTTGTCCTTAGGCCAAGGCTTGGGAGCCTTTTGCTGATGATACGTGAAGTCTTTGTATATGGCTCCTTTATTTTTTGCCTTTCTCATTAACAAAAGAGAAAAGGTAAAGGGAACAACTATATTGTCTTTCATGTGTCATTTAACTTGTTTGATTTTTCATTTAATTCCTAAGAAATAGGTCTTAAACACATTTTACTCATAATAAAATGGGTTCATAGAAACAGAACAAATTGCTCAGTAGCCACTCTCCTAGAAAGTAATACAGCTGGAGGCGAGGCACAGTGCTGCACGTCTGTAGTCCCAGCTACTTGGGAGGGTGAGGTTGGAGGATCACTTGAGGCCAGGAGTTGGAGGCTGCGGTGTGCTGTGATCCTGCCTGTGAATAGCCACTGCACTCCAGCCTGGTAACATAGTGAGATCTTGTCCCTACAAACAAACAAACAAAAATAGTACGGCTGGCCTTCACAACCGTGTTTTTCTTACTCTAATGCTAGTGTATTGTAGCTCCAGGTTCTTCTTTCTATCACTTCTTCCTTCCTGTCCCTCAGACCTGCTCTAGGATGGCAGTGGTGTTGAGGGGTATGCTGTGGGTATTAATTACCACCATTACTTCTCCACCTTGACCTCCTGAGAGTTGAATGACTGCATATCTGACAGAAATGAAGAGGAAGAATACTTGTGATGATGTAATTATTGATTAATATGACTGTCTCTTTCATTAGTATCTGAGTGTGTTTCATTCATCTCTGTACAGGGAATAGGGACTTAAAGATTTGTTCATGGAGTGTGCACATCCAGGCGGACAGTTCTGGTTACTTAACAAGGACATTAAGTAAAACACTACGTAATTACAGTATCTTCTCTAACACTGACCTGCTTCTCTGAATGGGCTGTGTTAATTCCTGGACCGAAATTTCACATGCTGCTTGTCACATCAGTATATAGCTTGAGTC